CACACACATGCAGTGCACAGGAAGGAAACTCACGGATACTCCTGACGGAGGCCCGGGACGGCTTGTTGGATCGGAAAGAGGAGGAAGCTGCTTCCAAACAAAAAGAGACATGCTTAAACCAACGTGAACTGGAGAGAGGGAAAGGCAGGGCCCAAAGGGAGGAGCTGTTAGGACAAACAGGGAGGCCCACATGCTGTGTTAGGAACCCGCCTGTCTCGCTGGGACCAGGGAGGGATGGATGCCGTGCTGGAAGACGGGGAGGGAGCAAGAGATGCTTCAGTTTTCCTGGCTGCCACTTGACTGGGCACTACAGGCAAGGCTGGAGACCCCACTGGGACATCCCCAAAGCCAACCTAACAAAGGCTGCTGGGCCCCAGGAGAAAACAGCCCCAGTCTAGAGGCATTGCTGACAGTGTTCAGAGCCACCAGCTTGTTCAGGTACAGCCAGCACACCAGAAACCTCGTTTCCAGGCAGAGTGGTTCCACTCCATCCCCAGGAGGCTGCTCCAGAGGCACTTGGGTGTGCACACACAATGGGACAACTTTACCTGAGACTTTGGGGGTAGGATTGCAAGAGAAGCCCCCATTAGATTGGTCGGTGTCTCCAAAGTCATATGTCTCCCTGGGTTTGGGCTTGTATTCCCGCTTGGGACGCGACGAGGCCTCCCTCATCCTGCAAGAAGAAATGGGGATAACTTGAGATGTGGAACAGTGTGATGAGATCAACATGATATTTGTTCTCCTTAGGGGCTACATGGGTTTGTGGACAAGAATTTGCCCATCCCTCTTGTGCTCAAGGTGGATATCCCCCAGGGTTTGGGACCTTGCCCGTAGAGAGGGCCACATGCGCCAGGCTTTGCTATGGAGATGTCTCAGGCAATTCAGGCCAGCAGAGGACACTCGTGCTGCACTTGGAAAGCTCACACTTGGCAGGATCCTCCCAGCTCTGAATTCAAACCAGACACGGGATCCACTCAGCAGCTTCTTCTGCAGGGACACAGCACCAAAGCACCCTGAGGAGCAGGGAGGCTGCCCTGGCCCTTTCCACCCTGCACCAGGCTCCATAGGGAAGCCTCGATGGAGCCATCTCTCCTTCCCTGGCCAGGGCATGGGGAGATGCTTGGGTTCCAACAGCACCTCTGTGCTTCTTGGCACCTCAGCAGCAACCCTGGGGCTGCTGCAGAGCTCGGGCACCCGAGGAGGGGCAGGAGAGCAGCAAGACCAGGCAGTTCCACGGCTGCTCCCCTGTGCCAGGCACGTGTCTGCCTCTCACCAGCTCCCTGGCTCCAGAGCACTTGTGGCTGTGCTCCACCTGCAGCAGGTCCACCAGGAGACCGCTGACGGACAGAAGGGAGAGTGGGGCTTGCTGGAATTGGAGGGTTCTGGTGGAAGGCACACAGATGCTTGCCTTTAAGGACGTGGTATTGGTGCCCTTCCACCAGCCTGTGGCCACCACATCAAGCCCACCAAGCTGCATTCAGCTTCTGCTCTCCAGAGCAATGGGGAGCCCTTGACACGGACCTTTCTGAGCCACAATAATGGCCAATGTCCAGGAACCCTCCTTAACCACAATGAAACTAATGGCACAAAGGCTGTAGACGAGCCAGTTCCAGGTGACAGAAGGTGACAGGTATGTCCAGCTTGTGACATCTGAGCCATCTGCTCCAATGGCATGATGGAACTTCTGACTCCATCTGGGTTTGGCCAAAAGGCTCAACACCCACAGTGCAAGGAGCCATGAGCCCTGGCATGAAGGGGATTCACCCTTCTCCACCCCTGCCACATTCCACTCCAGCCTCCCTGGGAGCAGCACACCCTGGTTCAGGCAGGGCTCAGCCCAGTGCCCAGGGCACAAGCACTAAGGGTTTGTTTCACATGTCACAGTGTTCCTGTCATTGAAAGCAGGTTGTGCAGCCGGCAGCATTCCCTCCAGCCTGGAAGAGGTCTGGATTGAAGCTCTAGTGATTGCAAGAAGCAGCTTTAACACCAGGGTACAGAGCCTGTAGAGCAGCTCCAGTGCCTAAAGGGGCTACAAGAAACCTGGAGAGGGGCTTTGGACAAGGGGCTTGTAGGACAAGGGGAATGGCTTTAACCTGCCAGAGGGGAGATTGAGAAGAGCTCTGAGGCAGAAGCTCTTCCCTGGAAGGGTGCTGAGGCGCTGGCACAGGGTGCTCAGAGAAGCTGTGGCTGCCCCATCCCTGGCAGCGTTCAAGGCCAGGTTGGACACAGGGGCTTGGAGCAACCTGCTCTAGTGGGAGGTGTCCCTGCCCGTGGCAGGGATTGGAGCTGGAGGAGCTTTAAGGTCCCTTCTAACCCCTGTGATTCAGAGGGGGAGTCAGGTACTCACAGACAGGGGTTTGGTGCCTCCAGCACTCACCTGCGCTTGAGCTTCTCGGCGAGCTCGTCCAGGATCTGCACTGCCTGTCGGTGATAGTCCAGCTGAGCGTCCACCAGGGCTGAGAGCTGGCTCACCTGCTCAATCTGAGGGACCACACCAGGGGCGTGAGTGGCTCTGGGTGACAGGAGGCTCCTGCACTGCACATGGGGGCTCAGACCTCACTGTGCGAAGGGAGCTCCCCGGGGCCGGGAGGAGGAGGGTTGTGATTTCACACAGCAGAGCTCAGGCATGGCCAAGCCGCAGCCTGGACACCTCCTGCCACTCTCTGGGCTCTGAAAGTTGTTCAAACCCTTCCCAAGTAACCTGCTTTACCAGCCCAACCTCACTCCCACCAGCACTCTGAAAGACACAAGCCACAGCCTCTCCTCTGGCCAAGAGCTGGATCAGGAAGAGTGGCTTCC